ATACTGTGTGATTCCAACTCTATGACATTCCGGAAAAGGCAAAACTATGGAGACAGTAAACAGATCAGTGGTTGTCAGGGGCTAGGGGAGAGGAAGAGGTGAGTAGGTACAGCACAGAAGGCTCTTTTTTTTTTTTTTTTTTAAGATTTTATTTATTTATTTGACAGAGAGAGATCACAAGTAGGCAGAGAGGCAGAGAGAGAGGTGGGGGAAGCAAGCTCCCTGCTGAGAAGAGAGCCTGATGTGGGGCTTGATCCCAGGACCCTGAGATCATGACCTGAGCCGAAGGCAGAGGCTTAACCCACTGAGCCACCCAGGTACCCCAACACAGAGAGGGCTTTTACTGCAACTCTGTATGACGTCGGGATGTCGTCATACATTTGCTCAAACCCGAGCCATGTGAGTGTGTCAAACCCACTAAGAGTGAACCCTAACGTAACCCATGGACTCTGGGTGATAATGACACCTCAGTAGGGGTTCAGCAATTGTAATGAACGTCCCACTCTGGTGGGGGTTGCTGATAATGGGGGAGGCTATGTGTGAGTTGGAGCAAGGAGAATCTGGGCCACCTGTGTACCTTCTGCTCAATTTTGCTGTGAACCTAAAACTGCTCTGAAAATTAAATCTGTTAAAAAACAACAGAAACATACATTGCCCAAGTTGTTGAGATGATTGAAGTGTGTGAGTGGAACATGGAGAAAAATTCTTAACGTGGTCAGGATTGTCCTGGGAAAGCTAGAACCTGGAAAGCCTAAACCCAAACTTTAAGAGGTGTTTTCAAAATTGGAATTCCACATTCCGTGCTAAATTAAATGAAGCAAGTTTCTTTACTGGGGACTGGGCACTCATACAGCTCACGTATGTATACCGTGACTCTCTAGAATGAACAGTGTATGCAGCCCTTACCTATGATTTGATCCAGAACCTGTTCTTCGTGCCACATCTTTGTCATGAAGGAGCCTGAGTCCGGATGAATGCCAGTGGTTAGCCTGTAGAGCGGCTCCCAATAGTCAGCTGTTTCGCTTCAGAACTAGTCCAACATAAGTTAGTTATTATCTTGTTTTGCAGATTCCAAACCCCTAGAATCTAAGTTCCATGAGAAGAGCGGTTTTTGTTTGCTTTATTTACTATTATTTTCCCAGTGTCCAGACCAGTGCCTGAATAGAGCAGGTGCTCAATAAATATCGGTTAAAAGAATGAATGAATGAACAAGTGAATAAACAATTTTTCTTCTGTGAAAAGGGCAGAAATTCTAGCACAAGGTAATTCTACCAAATTCTCATCCAGGTGGTTCATATTTCCCAGCTCCTTGTGTAATATTTATTCTTGCTTCAAGTTTTCCCAAAGCATTTTTTTCTGAATGGACACATTGAAGGAGTTAAGAAAATCAAGGAATGTGGTGCAAAAATAATGAATATTATTACGCTGAAAAGAAATTTAAAAAAAAAGAAAAGAAAAGAAAATCAAGGAAGAGTGAGGACCTTGGGCTCAGTTCTCACCTACTCCATTGGTGATAATAGTCACTAACATTTGTGTTGTAATTTCTAACAAAAGCTATTGCATTTAGCTCTCAAAACACCTGTGAGGCAGGTATCAGTACCTTCACTCTCAGGAGGGATGAGAGTTGGTCTGCCAGTATCACCCTGATGATATTAGATCACCTTGATCTAAGCCCTGGTCTTAACATGTCAAAGTCCATGTTCAGTGCATGGCCCCCAGCTGCTTTCCCAGACAACCGAATGTACTGGTAAGCTATTTCCCCTTTCTCGGTTTCCACATCTGGAAAGTGCCCAGGGGATTTCTTAGATTCCTTCCAACTTTACTTCTATGACTCTATGAGACTCCTTTTTTTTTTCTTTTTCTCCATCTAAATTGCTACAGCTTTGAAAAGTGCTAAAATAATATCTTATTCCTTCTTGCAATCGCACAGCTCTTTCAAAATCTGTTTGAGGTACTAAAAAAATAAAATAAATTATAAACATTTTCTCTTTCTTTTCAAATAATGCCTGGAAACAGAATACCTTAACAAAGAGGGAATTGGTTTCGTTAAGCATAGTATCCTCAGAAGGGCCTTCCTTACTAAAAAAGAAAAAAAGTGCCATTAGAGGGTTTTTCTCTGAGCTTATTTCAAAACAAAGGCATGGAAGAAAATATACCAACTTTTCTGGAAATGAAGCCATTTAGAACAGAATAAAAATAAATAAATCCAAAATATTTAATCACCTAGTAGCTAAATAAATAAACTTTTCCAAAAAGAAAAGGCAAAGCCTGGTCTTCACTTTATTATTTACCTGGTAAATTCCCTTTGTATGCAAAACATTTGTATTATTCACATATCCTTGTCTGTTTAAACAAAGCAATTAAACTGCTGTTGAACCACACACCCAAACAGAGCAAGTGAGTTATTTGTGCTTCTTCTCCGTAGGACATTTTGTTTTGCCTTAAACTTTTTTTTCATCTGTATGGAAATAATCTAGTTTTGGTGTCATGTGAAAAAACTTTACACAGAAAAATCTGTATTTGCTCATCCTTTTTTAGGTTTTATTGGGCTAAAAAGTAGAATTCACACAGGCAAAAAAAAAAACAAACAAAAAACCCAAACCAAACAAACATGCAAAATATTTTTGTGCACACCTCTATCACACTACTTTCCACTTTTGAAATCTTGAAAAAAAAAAATCCCAAAGCAAAAGTACCTGAGTTGAAAAGCTAACATTATAAAAGCTAGATTCCTAACACAAACACTGCAGACATAAATCACTCCATTGCAAAAAGTTTATAAGTGTTTATAAGTGTTAAATAAACGTCAAAAATGAGGACACCAGAACTATAGATCCAAAGTGTACTCCCCACCAGGAACTATTAGAAATTGTTTGGTGTCCTAGGACAGTCCTGATGTTAACTTGAAATAGATACAACCTTATCCTCAAAGCTACGCCAAACTTGCAAACACCGAGGGAACCCCATATTCAAAACTATCCTCTTCTCCTACTACCTTTAAAATGGTTTTTGTGTGTGTGTTTCGGTAAATTAAAGAGTCCCTCAGAATCGACACTCACTCTCTCTGAGATGTAGAAAAACCGATTCAGTAAATGACCATGATGAAGTCCTTCTTCGAGATGCTTCACTTTTCTTTTTAATGATCATGTACTTTTTTAATGATCGCACAGGCATGTGTGCGTCCATTTGCGCCTAACCCCCTTTAAAAGATATTTTTGGAAACTTAACCCTTGGGAACTGTTTTTCCTTTCCTCTAGACCAGTCCCTGAAAACGTGTTTTTGTTTTCATTTTTGCTTTAAGAGAAAACCTGTCTAGAGCTTTTCTGTACAACCAACAACCTCCTTATCCCTATATATTTGAACTTTCCAAAAATAACAGAATGCTCCAAGGTACTTGTTTGCAACTCCTGAAAAATCTCCAGTCACTCCCAGCAGATTCTACTGTCTGGTACTTTAGATTCACTTTCTTACTGCACCACAGGTAAAGAAGGGCCCGGTGGCAAGAGTACAATTATGTACGAGACACAGCTTCACCCTTGGAAAAAAAACACGGGCCTCCTGCTAGGGCCGCATCCTGCTGCTTCTTTCTCCCTCAAGGAGAAGGAACACACTCAGGGAGAAAGACAGTCCCCTGGAAGCCTCAGTTCTCAGAAGAAAAAAAATGTTCTAATGTATTCTCGTAAAACATGCAAAGAGAAAAATCCAAAACAGGAGTGAGGAGAGAGTAGCAGTGAGTTGGAAGAGTGCCTAACTATTGTGTTCAAGTGAAAAACTCCCCCTCAGACTGCCTGCTTCCATGCCTTGTTCCATGAGCATAATAACAGTGCTTCCTGAAGGGAAAGAGAATGTACCATTTCCAGGCTCAGAAACTAAGCTTTTCTCTTTGTCACCTAACAGCTTGAAAATGCTTACTTAACTCAAACTATCACTAATGTTCAAAGAAGTTTGAAGACCCAAGACTATTTCAATAAGTGCTTAAACAAGTTCTAGATCAACTCAGCTCATCCATTGCCAGGGCCTGAATGGCAAATGAGTACCGTATCAGTCCCTCTTCTCCTCCCAACAGTTGACACCCCGGCACGTAATCACTGCACTGCACTGAAAGGAACCCTTGAGAAGCGTGGTGCAGGTCTGAGGTGGGAGGTGCTGCCAACACTGGCATTCTTACTGAGGCTGGCAGAAAGTAAGGCTCCTCTCCCCATGCAGAGTTCGGGCATATTCCCAGCCTAGTCTGCCATCCTGTTTCAGACACTGTCTCTCTCTTCTTGTCCACAGATCATCACGCCTGTTGGGGGAAGGGGTGCTGAGGAAGACTTCATAAGTGAGCCGTCCCAGGATTGGGAGAGAAAAACATGCATAAGCCTGGACATTCATGCTCAAGAACTTCATAAAGCAAAACAAAGGCTAGACGCAACCCAGAGTCGCTTTAAAATCTCCTCTCACACACAGCAAAGCAAAACTGGAAAAACCCAATTCCACTTTCCCATCACAATTCAAAAAGGAGCTCAACCTTCTGGGGACATAGGATGTCTTAGACGTGAGCCAGAGCCCTTCCTAAAGCCCTGTCAACCGCCCCGCAGCTCCCAGAAGGCACCTCCTAGACGCCTGGACTCCCTCCGAACGCTCAACTCTGTTCCAGGTCTGAAGTCTGATGCGCAGAGGTGGCTCCGTGACGCTAGTAACGGAATAACACTTCCTTTTTTGGCGAGGAAAGCCCAATTGGTCTCAGCTAACAAGCCCTCAGCTATGGCTCTAAAAATACCCCACAGCGAGTACTGTTTGACACTTGGGTCTGCTTGCCAGACAAGCTCTAGAGAACTCCACAGCACGCTCCAGAGTCTCCAACAGCACCCTGAGCTCTGTCACTGCTCTGGTGACCTCAGGGAAGGGTGTCACTTCGAGAACATGACTTTTTTTGTTTTTCACTTTGGAGTTCTTAGAATTCTGTTCTGAACATTTGAATTACCACTCCAGCCTTGGATTAATTACTAGCTTGGTTGAGGAATCTTCATTTGGCTTCTAGTCTGAACTATGCAAATACACGATCTGTGTGCAGAAGGAAGGACTAAAATTATACTTCAAAAGGGCTCAGTAGCTTCCTGTCTTCCCCCTTTCCCCCAAAAGAAACATCAGCCTCCTTGAATCCTTTGTTGCCAGCGGCAGGAGCGGCTCCCGGCCTGTCCGCATCAGACGCTCCGGGCTCCCTACACGTTGATGGCGTGTGCGTGCTTCTTGCACAGGGGTCTGTCCTTCTTGGAGTAGAAAGGCTGCCCCTCCAGATTCACGTGGCAGACCTGGGACAGAGGACAGACAGGCATGAGGCGGGGCCTAGCTCTCACCACCACAAATGCTTAATGATGTAAGCAGAGTAGACAGTCGAACTACATAACATTTAAGACTCCCAAAGAGGAACACAGAACTAAACTCAAATGAAATGAGATGGAACACACAAAAAAATACATAAGATGAAGATGATCGATCAATGCTATCCAAAGTTTACAAGAAACCAGTACAAAACCATGAGTCAATATCCACGGGGGTGATTAACATCCAAGAAAATACCATTAGGAAACTAACAAAACATATCAGAAAAGATTATCCTCACTAATATTCAAAGGAAAAATAAATTAAAGCCTCCATGAGAGACCCCTAGGTATCTATTAGTCTAACAAAATAAATAAAACAAACAAACAAAAAAAACCTTCAATCACATGTTACCTTTAACCTTAGAAGACTAGCTAAAAAGCAAAAAGACAAAAAAAAAAGTACCAATCAACACTCAACAATGCCTACTCATGCACTGCTAAGGACACAGCTTGGTGAATCAGCTCAGCCTTGTGTAGGGGGTGTGACAATACCAGAGAGGAACTGTAAAGATGTGCCTGCCCAGTACCACCTGGGAGGGGTTCATCCTGCAGAAACTATTGCAAGGAACAATGTGTGCTCAAGCCAAAACTGAAAATCACCAAAATGCCTCTCTACAGGGAGATGACTAAGTAGATTCCTACAGTACATTCTCCAATGGAATGCCACCATGAAAACAATCAATCCAATATGGAAAAGCGTTGCAGGGAGACATTATATGAAAGAAAAAAGAGGCAAATTGATATGTCCCCATGATGACAACATGTGAGTGCAGTTTGAAGATGGAGACATCACAGAGAGAAGAAAGCTCAGTCACGTATGTTGAGGCTACTGTGGGTGAAGCGGGAGGCCAGACACTCTATACACGTGATCTCATTTAATCCCCACAAAAAGTTATAGGAAGGTATGACTTGTCCCCATTTCATAAGGGAAAACTGCAGTTCACAGAGCTGAGTGTGTCGCTTAAGTCAGAGACCTAGAAAGTTGTAGAGCTGGGACTTGGTGTCCAGGTCTGCAAGACTCCAGCTCTAGCTCATCTTCCACTCACCACACTGCAGAGAGGGGCTATGCTTACTTAAAATTGTTCTGGGCTTACAGGACTTGTATTGAGGTATCCTCCAAGTTTATTGGACTACCAGTACATAGGCTGGCCCTGGGTGGGCAATAGGCCAAGGTGTCAGAGTTAGCTGGGAAGTCAGTTTGGCTGGGATGGGCCCCAGGGTCATAGACAGCACTGAACAGAAGAAGTAGGCCTCACACCCAGGACATGGACATCAGAAGACATGCAAGTAGGGGCACCTGGATGGCTCAGTCAGTGAAGCATCCAACTCTTGATTTCATGTCATGTCATGATCTCAGGGTCGTGAGATCAAGCCCCATGTTGAACTCCACACTGGGTGTGGAGCCTCCTTAAGATTCTCCCTCCCTCTCTCTTTCTCTCTCTCTCTCTCTCTGCCTGTCCCCCCATTAAAAGAGAAGAAGGAGGAGGAGAAGGGCAGCAGGTAGAGTTCCCATATACAGAAGGCATGAAGATAAAGAAATCATCCTCTTGAGATGAGCTTAGCTCTGTGAGCATGTGACCACTCGAAGACAGCTGGAAAGAAAAGTGGCATCACAGTGGTCCCTCGTGGGCCAGTTGAGAATGTAATACTCGGGATTACCCAGGGTTGATAACGGGCCCTGGGAAACAATGGTGTAAAAAAGTGACCAGAAACATCCCAGGTGGAGGCAGTGATGTTGAGTGTAACCAGGCTCTTGGGGTGGCCTCAAGCTGCTGGTGAAGATGTGGAGACAAGCCCAAGATCCAACAGTGAGGATGGGTTTCATGGAGATAGAAAGGCAGCTCTGGAGTGAGTTGTCAAGGAGCTGCCTGTCAACATCTGGGGCTCTGCCTAGTCTGGGACAGTGCTGGTTACTTGTAAGAACTGTGGGATAAGTTGGAGAGTATATTGGGAGACTAAAGGCCCAGAAGTCAGCAAGGGCCAGATCCTCAGGGGTGGCTCATTGATAAGATGGTGGCTCATTGATAAGATGGAGCTGAGGGCAGAAAACATCACAGAAAGGTTGTGTTCAGTGTCCTGGGCTAAGAGACTCTATGTGGGATACATGGTGGCTTCCTGGTAGAGGCCTCCAGACTACTCAGGCACAACAGGGATAGTTCAAGCCCCAGGCTCCGTGGTCAAGTGTCATCAGGGCCTGGGTGGGAAGGAGTCATGGATGGTGCTGGGAGACAAGGACATCGGCCAGCTGAAGGAGCCACTAGGACTGCTGCCTTCCCCTCCTGATACCCACACCAGTGGGGAAGGGTTGGAGACCCAACAAGACTTAAAGGAAAAGAGGGGCCACTTTATCCACTACCCACTAAAGATAGGCCCCACATCTTTTCCATTGGAACTCAAGTGCCAAAGCCAGATAGGAGCTTAACCCCTCACCCCAACCCACACAGCCCTTCTCAACCATCATTTTATTATTATTTTTTATTTTTATTTTTATTTTTTTAGAAAGAGAGAACAAGTAGCGAGGGGCAGAGGAGGAGGAAAAGGTAATCTTAAGCAGACTCCATGCTCACCACAGACCCCGATACGGGGCTCCATCTCAAGACCCTGAGATGACCCAAGCTGAAATCAAGAGTTGGACACTTAACTGACTGAGCCACCTCGGGGCTCCATCTCAGCCATCAATTCATGTGCTTGGGACTTTAGAGAGGCTATCTTGTTCTATTCTTTAATCGCTTATAAATATCAACTTTGTTTCCTTTCAAGATTCCAAACTCCTTGAAGGTAGAGATTTGTTCTGGGATACTTTTTTTTCTTTTTTTTTTTTAGATTTTTTATTTATTTATCTGACAGAGAGAGATCACAAGTAGGCAGAGAGGCAGGCAGAGAGAAGGGGAAGCAGGGTCCCCACTGAGCAGAGAGCCCTATGTAGGGCTCGCTCCCAGGACCCTGAGATCATGACCCGAGCCGAAGGCAGAGGCTTAACCCACTGAGCCACCCAGGTGCCCCGTGGGATACTCTTATGTCCTCCAAACTCAAGCAATATTTGGTAAACTGAATTCGCCTAAAGTTATGTGTTCTCCTGAGATCTAACTGACGGGAAAACAGCTCATCAGCTGGGAGAGCTAGTTCTGATTTTCCTTTCTTACTTTTTTTTTTTTTAATTATAAGAAAATATACGCATCAAAGATGATTTAGAAATATAAAGTGATGATGGGACGCCTGGTGGCTCAGCCAGTTAAGCATCCCAGGGTCCTAGGATCGAGTCCCGCATCTGACTCCTTGTTCAGCAGGAGTCTGTTTCTCCCTCTACCTGCTGCTCTCCCTACTATGCTGTTTCTCTGACAAATAAATATAATCTTAAAAAAAAAAAAAGAAATAAAAAGTGATGGAAAAGGACTCCCCTCCCCCCCAACCATCAGTTTTCCAATCAAAAGATTGCTTTCCAAAAATTAAAACCAAAACCATGTTCCACTTCACTGTATCTTAACAGGGCAGTGAGTGCCACACAGGGCCACTTTGGAGGAAGACATGATGATTCACCATGCCGATTCTCCAAAGGACAGGACTTGCCTGGTTTCTCTGCATAGACCCTTTCGCAGTGCTATGGGTCTCTCACACCTTGCCAGAACTTATTTATAATCTTGGCCTATGCTTTATTGCTTCTTCTGTTCTCTCTCTCTGGGATTTGTGCCACTGTGACTCTCAGCCAAACTCAGTGAGCTCAAGGGAGCAGACCCATGCTCACCTTTTCCATGGTACCCTCTCCATGTGACACACACCTCTCATCAGCCCGCCCTTAGAGAACAGGCCTTCTGTGCCACAGTCTGCCCTGGACCTTTTCCAAGTATCTTGGGTCCTTCTAGAAGTCGGGCAACCAGACTTGCAGGCAGTGTCTTAGGATTAGACAAGCCACGGCTTGAATGCAGGGGTCAGAGGGCCCTATGTGCCTTGCTGAGCCATGGCTCTGTGGGAGACAACCGGAAAGCCAGTATATTCACATTGCTGTCCCTTTTCAGAGGGAAGGACCTGATGTACTCAAAGGACCCTAAGAGGCAATTAGAAAATCTATTCCAAAAGCTAGAAAATTGGAGTGTTTAGATTGAATTGTGTTGTTTCCTCCCCCAAATTCATATGCTGGAAGATACTCCCTGTACCTTCAATCTACTTGGCACAGGGACACACCAATGACCTTCTTTGGAAGCAGGATCTTTGCAGATATAATTAAGGTGTAAGTTAAGATGAGGTCATTAATCCAATAGGACCAGTGTTCTTATAAGAAAAGGAGAAGCTGGGTGCCTGGGTGCCTCAGTTGGTTAAGCGAATGCCTTCAGCTCAGGTCATGATCCCGGAGTCTTGGGCTTGAGTCCCGCACCGGGCCTCCCCACTCAGCGGGTAACCTGTTTCTCCCTCTCTTCCCTGCTCCTGCCCTCTCTCACTATCCCTGTCTCACTCTCTCCAATAAATAAATAAAAACCTTAAAAAAAAAAAAAGAAAAAGAAAAGGAGAAGCACATAGAGACAGACACACACAGAAGATGGTGCCATGCAGAAACACAGACACACATAGGACAGGCTGCCAGGGGACCACGGAGCCCGAGACTGAAGTTCTGCCACTACAATTCAAGAAACATCGGATTTCTTGATTGCTGGGAACCACCCAAAGCTCAGGGAGAACGCATGGCCCCGCTGTGGACTTCTAGCCTCCAAAGCTATGAGACAGTCCATTTCAGTTGTTGAAGCCACCGGGTTTTGGTCCATTGTTACAGCAGACCTGGCAAACTCACACTCAGAGTCAACACAGTGCACTCTACGCACCGTGGAGTGTGGGAGTAGTGTAGACACTGATGTGTATTGCTGTAAACTTTACGATGTGTGTTTCCTCTATTATAAGCCTATCAAAATGGTTCAAGTGGAAACTGCATGGATATTTGACACATGGCCACACTTTACCTTGAGCAGCACTTGTAAAACAAAACAAAACAAAACACAAAACAAAACAAAACAAAACAAAAGTGGTAGCAGCACATTAATTTTCCCAAATAAATTCAGTCAATTGCAGACTCACATCACAGGCCTTTCTCAGGGATGAATATTTCCTAGATGTAAGGCAGAGTCTTAATGTCAGTGAACTCATTGCTGTGTCCCCTCCCCAACCCGAAGCCCTCATAAGGAAAATGCCAATTTCATGGGAAAAACGACTTGGCTGTTTGGAAGAAATAGATGGCACATGGTTAACAGTTATGTAGGGCTTATCTCTGGCAACTATGTATCAAGAACAAGACCATTTAGAAAATAAAATGATAGCCCAGATTCCTAAAGAGTCTATCAAAAGAAGCCCTATCTCAGCCTTTCATAGAATGAGTCAAAAATCTCCAAACTAGTGTTTCTTGGTGCAAATTTTGGGGAAAATCCTTGAAACACTTCATCACATTTAAAGCAACTTATAATCAGAGGAAACCCCCCTGCTTTATTATTCACTGCTTCCAATGATGGAGAGCATTGCTAGTGAGGCAAGCTGCTGGTATGACAGATCCTGGGAGAGTACTCTTTTCCTTAGTGAAATGGAGAGTAACAAAATCCACACTGGTTTAGAAGTAATTATTAGTAATAAACTTGGCTTGACTGTGACATATCCAGACACTATGGTACTCGCCAGCTTTTAAAAATGATCAGAATATCAGAGCACCAGAGTTGAAAGGGATGTAGACAGTTGATCACCTGGCCCCACTGGGTCCCTCTCGCCCCTTCTCAGAAAGTCAGAACCCCCAGCCCCAGCTAATCACATACTGCGCAGATGAAGCAGGTGTCATGCCAGGTGTGTCCCAGGGCTTCAATAAACTTGTCACCGGCCTCCACGGGGAAATCACAGCCATGACACTTGGTGCTGAACAGATTGACGTAGTCTGAAATGAAAGGCAGAATGAGGACCAGGCATCCAGGCAGGCTGGGAGAAGCATCCTGGACACACCAACCTGATGCCATAACAATGACATCACACCACAAATCACTGAGCAGGGGCAGTGGATATGATCTAACTGGTTTACTTGTTGTCTTGCAGACAAAATGCTCAGCTATATGATTGTGGTTTTTTTTCTTTTCAATAATTTGCACGGGTGGTCTATGGATTCAGGCTTAGTTATCACTCTGTGCTGGTTTGATTTGCAAACACTCTCCACATCTGTCATTAACTTTCTACAGGGTGATTTTCTCCTCTGCTTTTACAGCCCAAACAGACCAATCCCAAAAAGAAGAAAAAAATAATATTTCCAGATAGCTTGAAAGGAGAGCTCTTAACATTTTTAGGAGTTATATAGTATGTTCTTTGCTTGGCAATTCTTCTCTCATTGGGCATTTGTGTTGATAACAAATTTTTACTACTGGAAACAATATCTGAGCTACTATGTTAAGACGTGTCCCCCTCCCTCCCTCACCAAAGAGATAATAATACCATGTATTGCTTGTATAATGCTTTACAGTTCACCAAGCATTCTCGCATAGATGGTATTCTTTACTAGAATCTCAATGTCATGGTCTGTGGATTTGTATGTACTAGTTTTCTTGCCACCCTCAACACAGTGCCTGGCACACGAGTTAGTACCCAACACATACATGTGGGATGAATGAGGGAATAGATGAACCAGTGAATCAACAAATCAATGAATGAACTCAATCTTCAAAAAACCCCTCCAAGATTGAACTGTAATTATTTTTCTGTTTTATGTGTGTTTTATTTTGTGGATAAGAAAACTGAGGCTCGCCAGAGTCATACAGCTGAGACACACAGCTGAGCAGGCTGGGTCCCAGCTCCAACTGTCTCATCTGGGCCCCAGGGGTAAGCAGGTCTACTGTCCTCAGTGGAGAACTCTTCCAGATTCTTTGAGAGATGTTTGATGTCTCTTACGAAGCCTTCATTCCCCTACAAGTGTACTTGTCTCTCCACAGCTCTACCACAGTTGGCTTCTCCTTGCAACTTCCATGTTTCTGCTTGTGGACAGCATGCCTGCTCCCCGTCTTAGACCACATGCTGAGAGGCAGTGTGCCATGGGGGGGTTATGTACTTGGGTTCTGAAGAACAAAAGCACTGAGCTCAAGTTCAAGCTCTGTTTGTGAATTGTTCCTACTTGGGGCAAGTCACCTAACTTCTCAGTGTCTCCATTTTCTCCTCTATAGAAAGGAAGTAACTACAGGACCTAAGTCGTGGGGTTGTTGTAGTGATTCAGTAAGATAACGTATGTGAATGTACTTGGCACAAAAACTCAAAAATCTTGGCTCTTATTTGCATGTCTTTATAAATGACGGAAGGAGAGAAGGAAACGTGAGTCCAGCGCCTACTTGGCACCAGTCCAATACTAGTGCTTTTCTAAGTTTCCTGTGTAATCTTCACAGCAGCTTTGTGAAGAAATATTATTCCCACTTTAAAGATGAGGAAACTGGCTGTTGAGTTTCTGTCACCTGGCAGGAAGGAGCCCGCCTCATGGATTCCAAAGTTCATCCTCTTTCCACGACTTCACGTGGTCTTGTTATCTCTTTGCCATTGAGCTTTGATAAGTTATATCTCTTGGATATATTTTCCAATGTACGGTTTCCCCTTTTGTGTTTAATTATGGTTTGTCATGCAAATGCTGTTCTCTGTGTCATGGTCTGTGAAGCCCATCTCTGACAGAACCCTTAATTTCTCACCAGAACTAAAAACATCATTCTGGTTCCTCTACAAGTTTAGAGCAGGTTTATGGTTCACTCAGTGCTCTGTAGGAACTTGTGTGGGTGAGAAACAGGGCCATAGGCTACCCCATCTCCGTGGGAGGGCAAGCCTTGAATCCCACTTCTGACTTCTCTCTCCTTATATGTTATAGTTTCCTCCTGCCCTGGACTCTCTCATCTACCTCATGCCTGTGTATGAACCAGGTCCTGGGCTTGGAAAACCCTCCCCACTTTGTCTACCTGTGATCCAGTGGGCCAGGACTTCCTTCTGGGAAATCCTCATCCTCCACCCTAACCAAGAGATGGCCTTCCTGAGAGCTTCTCTTGGGCTTCCCTGCCTTCTCACTCCATTCATTCATTCATTTAGTCAATATCTCTTAACTATCCATTTATGTGTTGGCATATCCCAGGATGATGTGTCTGCCTGAGGTTTTTGAGGGCAGAGACCCACTTCTAATGCTCAGTGTCTTTCAGAGGAATTGGCACAGATTTGATGGATGAATGATAAATGGAAAAACAAAGAAATGGTTAAGAAAACCTTACTAAATACTGATTCCTTCTTTTGCTGTGCAGCCTAACATTAAACTCTTACAATAGAATGTCTAGTCTTTTTTTTTTTTTAAGATTTTATTTATTTTTTTGACAGAGAGAGACACAGTGAGAGAAGGAACACAGCAGGGGGAGTGGAAAAGGAACAGGCTTCCCTGCAGAGCAGGGAACCTGATGCAGGGTTCAATCCTAGGACCCTGGGATCATGACTTGAGCTGAAGGCAGACACTTAACAACTGAGCCACCCAGGCACCCCTAGAATGTCTAGTCTTGCCTGCTGATTGTTTTTTCTGTTTTATACTTGATTCTGTATGATCTGGGGAACTGCCACCTTGTTTTAAAATTTGGTAGCACTGGTCTTGACCCTAATACATTTTTTTTTAAAGATTTTATTTATTTATTTAACAGAGAGAAAGAGAGAGATATCACAAGTAGGCAGAGAGACACGCAGAGAGAGGGGGGTAAGCAGACTCCCCGCAGAGCAGAGAGCCCAATGTGGGGCTCAATCCCAGGACGCTGAGACCATGACCTGAGCCGAAGGCAGAGGCTCAACCCACTGAGCCACCCAGGCGCCCCCCTAATACATTTTTTTAAAAGTTCACATATTTCATCATTTATCAAAAAAAATGAGAATATAATTGCAATTAAGTTTGTGCATGGGCCTTTCCCACCATGAATATAACCTAGTTCCTCATGTATTTATTTCTTACTTTATTTCTTCTATTAGGTCTTTATAATTTTCTTTGACTAACTCTCTTATGCCCCAAGTTGAATTTGTACCCTGTATTTAATGGATTTTATTGCTGTTGTAAAAGGGTTTCTATCCATCAAATCACAGTTACTTTCTGTTGAAAAAGGGCTTAGTGCTTTCGGAGAGCAGTGGATCTTCAAACATTAGAATCATCTTGAGGGTTCCCTAAAACACAGACTGCTGGGCCCCACCCCCTCAGAGTTTCTGATTTGGCGCATCTGGGGTGGGGCCCAAAGATCTGTGTTTCTGTGATCCTGATATTGCTGGTCTTAGGATCATGCCTCAATTCTCAAACTTAACTGAATATAGAATCATACGGGTGGGGGTAGGGTGATGAAATTCTGCATCTGAACATCTGGGAACTGATCTTCTATATCTTTAAAGTTTCCCAGGTGATCCCCAGGTGATCAGCCTGACATGGGGCTCCATCTCATGACCCTGTGATCATGAACTGAGCTGAAACCAACAGTCAGATGCTTAATTGACTGAGCCACCCAGGTGCCCCAGTAATAACAATTTGTATTGGCACGAACACACATCTATCAATTATCTGCTAATTATCTGCTAATTATCTAACAATTATCACTATACACTCACAAGAAAGGAATAGAGATGCTTATCTTCTCCCTTTTACAGATATGGAAACTGAGGCACGGAGTGACCAAGTAACTAAATCATTCAATTAATAAGAGCTGGGAAGAGATCTCATCCATATATAAGAACTCAAGAAATTTTTCTTTCATAATCTGTTGTCAGGGGAGAATAGTTTAGTTAGCTTTGCTTTTCCCCTGGAGGAACTGGAATGTTTTCTCCTTTCCAATTTTAAAGTACACTAACTTACTGTGTTTCTCTTTTTGCCCTCAGACTTGCTGCCCATTCACTGTTGCTCTGTTATTCTTCATAATCAACATGCTTGCTTTTCCTTCTTCTATTTGGTGCTAGTTCTATGACCTTAACCTTCCTATCTATGGTAACTTTGTTGGACAATGCCTCAAATCCTTTTCTGAAAAAGGCAGTCTATGGGAGCCCCTGGGTGGCTCAGTCAGTTGAGCATCTGACTCTCAATTTTTTTTTTAAGATTTTATTTATTTATTTGACAGAGAGTGAGAGAGCACAAGCAGGGGGAGCAGTAGAGAAGCAGGCTCCCTGCTGAGCAGGAAGCCGATGTTGGGCTCCATCCCAGGACCCTGGGATCATGACCTGAGCCAAAAGCAGACACTTAACCATCTGAGCCACCCAGGCACCCCTGACTCTTGATTTTGGCTCAGGTCATGATCTCAGAATCATGAGATCGAGCCCCACGTCTGGATCCCCCAAGGAGTCTGCTTGTTCCTCTCTCTCTCCCCCTCCTCCTCCACTCCTCCCCCTCCTCCTCTACTCCTCCCCCTACTCGTGCATGTATTCTCTCTCTCTAAAATAAATAAATAAATCTTTAAAGAAAAAGAGAAGTAGTCTATGAATAAATGAGTGAGGAAGTGGCTAATTAGCTAGGACACCTGATTCTCTAATAGAGTGCTTTGTCTTCAAAATTTATAATTTACTCCAAGTTCCAAGGTAAAATGTAGCATTTTGAGGAACAGAGAAACTCTGAATTCAGACGGGGCGGGGGTCACAGGATTCTGAAGGAACATCAGAGGAGCAGGGAAAGGGACTTTCACATGTTTGATTCTTTACACATTTTCTCTGGTTAAACACCTGCTCGTGAGGCCAGTGTTCATATGTCCCTTTGTACACATGAGGGAAGTGAGCTCAGACAAGTTTAAACATTCGCTCAGGGTTACAAAGCCAGCCCAAGGTGGAGCCTGGAATAGAACCGAAGACAAAGTCCAAAGCCAAAGCCTTTTCAGACTCCAGATCAAACTCATCTGAAAGGTTTCCCAAGTGGTTACAAGATGCCAGCCTGTGATCCACATATTTGGTGCAGGGAAGGGAACAGAGATCGAACGTATAAAAAACTTTTAAAAAGGCTATCGACCCAGCCCCCACCCAGGAAAGTATGACTCTGTCATTTGGAGACTCCTGATGGTTCCATGTGAATGGACACAGGCAGGACTTTCCTGTACCTGCCCCTTTCTCCCAGACCGTGGGGCCCCCTCCATAGCATAGTGGTCCTACCTTTCTCACAGTAGGGCTCCCCATCTTCCATGTGGAAGAGGCTGTTCCCGAAGGGTTTTTTGCAAGCTGCGCAGACGAAACAGGTGGTATGCCATGTCTGTTTCAGCGCATGCATCACTTCCTAGGGGAAAGAGCCTCCACTCAGGTCACAAAGGTTCAGGACAAAGAGGAAGTTGGGCCCCCTCTTCCTCACTGGGCCCTGGCTACTGCTGGAGCACCCCAACAGGGAGCAGGGCAGAAGAGCTCAGGAGGTGGGCCTTGGACGTACTGAGGAAAGGCCCAGGGAGGGAGGCAGAGGAGTTCGCCCTCAGGTAGCACCTGCTGGGTGCCATGTTCTGTGTCAAAATCATCAGAGAGGTGGTTACATTATCTGTGATTCTGAACCCTCCCATCAAAGCTGCTGATTACGTCGCTTTACTAGGAGCATGCAGGGGTCAAGGCCACATGTGGGTGCATGGCAAGGTCAGTCTATGAAGTGATAACTTGCTTTGCAGAAGCTCCACCAACACTTCAAGCTGTGTGGTCCAGACAAGTCATCATCTCTCTCTCCAAGTTCATTTGCTCCCTGGTTCACTGGTGGCAAACCAAGTCCCTTATAGGATAGATAGTTGTTCTTTCTCTGTTAGCAGCCACTTCTTGGCTTCTTAATGGGGCCCCACAATCTTGGAGAGGGAGAGAGATTGGTTGGGGAAGAGATAAGAGTCAGAGGACTTACCCCCATGATTTTGGTGTTGCACTTGGCACAGATTGGGGCAAAGAACTGCTCGTAACAGCGCTCACAGTACACATTGTTCTGTTCCTCTACGAAGCACATGTCCGCCAGGGAGGTCTTGCAATAGGCACAGTTGAACTCTTCTGGGTGCCAGGAACGGCCCATGGCTACCAGAAAGGGGCCCCTGGAGAAGCAGAGAATGGCATCTTAAGGCAGGCCCAAAAGCTCAAGGCCCAGTGTTTCAGAACCCCCAACACTTTTGTAACCCTTCTAATGAACTAATGTGAAATTCAGCTAAACTCTACACAAAAAGATATTCATTGTTGCATCAATAACACTAAAGAGAAACAGGGAAGCAACTCAAATATCTACCAGCAGGGGACGAGGAAAGTGTATTATAGGCTATCCGGTCAGTTGTAACAAGAAGAGCCAAGACGACCATGCCAATGGCTGCCATTTACTGAGTGTTTACTCTGTGCCTGGCACTATTTAAGAAGAAATGCATGTATTAGCTTGTTTGGTGCTTACAACAATCCTAAGAAGTAGGATTATGGTGCCCACTTTCAGATTAGGAAACTGAGGCACAGAGAGGTAAGTGGTTCAAGGCCATAGTGCTAGTATAGCTAGGGTAGCGCAGATCCAGGTTGGCAGTCAGAGCAGTGGGACTATGAGGAAATGTTGTACATCTTAATTTTTACTTTTCTGAACTCTCTAATTATTCTCTAATGAGCATGTGTTACTTTGTTTTTAAGTAAAAGTATATTTATTGCATGTATACGCCCTCCTCCCCAACACACATATCCTGTAAACATACTATGTCCAAACGAGTGTCACCTACATCCATGAAATGACTTGTTTCCCTTTTAGGGTGGCAGATGCTCACCAAAGCCCTGAGCAGCACTGGCCTGTGTGTGGAAGACCCAGAAGGAACCCTAAACGAAAGCTGGGTCAAAACTAGCCCTGTCAGCCAGCTTGCAACACGCCCAATAAACCCAACAACAAGACCTGTGATTCCCAGAACCCGGCCTTAGCCCAAGGGGGAGGTCCTGGCACCAGGCACCGTGCTGGGAGCTTCATCCACTTACCTCATGGAATTCTCCTGACTCCTGAGGGAAGTGGCTGTCTCATAGGTATGGAAGCCAAAGCTCAAAGAGGGTCAGACTAGGTGGCAAGCCAGAGGAGCCTGAGGCTGCCCAGTAGAAAGCCTTCTCCCTATCCCTGCCCTCCCTCTCACCCCCTGCCCCACCGCAGGGTTCAGATGGTGCACAAGCACCCCCCGCCCCCGCCCAGGCTCCCAGAGCGCCAGCTCCATGGCGCAGCGGGACCATACCTGATGACGTTATTACAGTGGCCACAGAGCGGAGTCCGGCTGCTGGCTGGGAAACGCTCAGCCCGCTGAACGATGCCCCTGGCCAGGGGAGACACTTGGGGCCCCGCAGGGGTGTAGGCAGGGGTCCCTCGGGGCAGGGTTTGCTTGCTGATGGAGGTGGTACTCTTGCTCGGGGCAAACTTCTGAGAGAAGCTGTCATCTGACACCCATGGGGGACGGCTGGCAGACTCCACAGGGCCCCCGCTGTAGGCCGCTGAGGGGGCAGGGTTATAGCTTGGGGCTGGTGAGGGGGTGTAGCTTGGAGCCGGGGAAGGGGAGTAGGTGGGGGCAGGCGAGGGGGTGTAGGGAGCTGGACTATAATTGGCCCCTGGGGATGGGCTGTACGTGGACACCGGCACTGCAAAGCCAAAAACAGCCAAAGAAAAATGTATCAGGGATTCATTTCCCCCAATTTCCCCCATGCCCAGCCAGAAAACTGTAAAAGGTGACTTTAATATTAGAGCAGTACAGTTCCAATTTTGATGGAAGACATGTTCCTGAACTTCTTGATGCCCCAGATTTGAGTTTGCAGCAAGGAGCCAAGGGAGATAAAGAGCAACCAGAGCAGAGCCCTCGGGAGCCTGGACAGGGCTGGGAAAGGGACAGAACTATAAATATCTGCAGCTGTGTGGGGTGGGGCCCAGCCAGGCCTGGGCTTCCAGAAGCCTGCAAAAGACAGGGAATGGGGGTGGCAGGCGTGCCAGGCAAGTCTCATATCTGGGTCCCCTGGGCCGGGAAGGGGGTGGGAGGGGGTCAGACTTGGCCTTGACTGGAAGATGCTTTCAGCTGCACTCTGACCAGGGATTTGACATCCACAATGCCTCTCTCACATGTGTTTGCTGAACGTGGCCCTAGTCCAGGCTTGGGGACAAAGTAGATGATGGGGCAATTGGGTTTTTGGGTTCAGGTTTCACATTTAGCTCCAATCATTTTCTTGAGAAACACTGTAGCTTCATTTGCTGGGGGAAATTTCCCCTTGGTTTGATTGGGGTGGGGGTCTTGAGAGAGCCATTCAGAGGGAACCTGGGCAGAGATATTGGGTAGACAAGGCCCAGGTCTCACTGCTCCCTCAGTCTGTGGCTGACTCTGGAAGGCCCATGCTCCCCTACACCACTTTGGGGGAAACACAGTATGTCTGAGAGCATGTGAAATTACCATGAAAGAATGCAGGAGAATACACTGCCTCAATTCCAGAACCCCTTCCTCCAGCTCTCCCAGAGCTAAAACCCTTTTTCGGAGACAACACAAAGGGGCACGGCAGCTGCTCACCCAAAGCCTTCTGAGGCATGGACTCTCAAAACCTAGGTCTCCAAGTTCTGTGGCCCTCCCGCTGGGGATCCTGCACACACATTCCAGCCGGCTTCCTCTTCTAGCCAGGGAGGCTCCAGAAGCCTCACCTCAGCTCACAGTCTGTGCCTCTGAAAAGAGGCTTCATTCCTCCCATCCTGGGAAGCAAGTTGGGGCAGCCTGCCTCCATTCCTGAGCCTGCTTAGGTGGATGGACTATGTTGAGGGGTGCTGACACAGCCCCCCTCATCTTCCAGCCAAGAAAGGAAGGTCTTCCTCAGGGCTAAAGTTCCCCACCTGGCCTTTGGTCTCTCCCACCTGGTTCTCCGGGCCCACCTTGGGTGGTCTGTGGCATGCTGTTCCAATTCTATTGTTCTACTCCCAGATGATTGGCCCCTCAGTGCTGGGTAACACAGGAACCCCAGTGCTGGGAGGGAGGGGGCAGGCCTGTGTTATTGAAAGGGGAAGGGGTAAAATCCTCCACAGCCCTGCCTTGGAGCCATGTTGGGAGTGATGCTGGCTCCTAAAAGTAAAACCCTCTCCAGAAGGAATCAATCTTCTTCTCACTTATTAAGGGAGCAGGCTTGGCACATAACAAGTCATCTGGTTTAGTCCTCTTTACGGTTGAGGTCACTGAGGCTCAGACAGAGCCAGTAAGTGGCAGAGTGAGTGTCCAAAACCATTCTATTACCCCAAGCTGCCTCTATAAAGAATACAAGTCTAATTCCAGAAAATCTTGGTGCACCACGTCATTGAGGAGTAACAATCAACTTGGAGGAGGTCCCATGCTCTGGCATGTAGCATAGCCATCGAGAGCCCTAGGTTCAAGTCCCAGCCCTACATCCTGGCTGTGTGTCCTTGGACAAGGTCCTTACCGTCTCTGGGCCTGAATGTCCTTTTTTAAAAACGGCATTAATAATTCTTAGTGCCTCACAGGATGGTTATGAGGTTTCAAGGGGACAAGAAAAATAAAGTGTTCAGCCTAGTGCCTGGCACAGTGCATGCATCATTTCACGTTAGTGAGGGTGGTGACTTCTGGGTCTCAGGGTCTGGGTGAACTGTCAGCTCAGCTTACTGCCTGATGGTCACCTGAGGGAACCCGTCCAGGGAAACTGTGGGATGTTGGGGGTGGGGAAGGGAGATGTGATGCCCTGAAATCAGATAACCTGGGACTGAGTGAGTCTATCACCAGTGGTAGAAAGTATGATGCCCCTGTCTGCCTCCAAAGGAGTGGTGGGGACCTCCTGGGGAGACATGATGCATGCACTGTGCAAATCTGTGAAGCCCAGATTCTGCGTGTTGCCCCCCTTCCTAACAACCTTGCATAGCAGCCAAGTGCCCAGAGCAGAGCATCTCAAAGTGCTGGGGCAGGGGTGATGAGGGGAACGCCACCAGGGAAGGGTGTGGGGAGAGGTCATCTAGCAGATCTTCAGAGCAGCTTCATCCCTCTCTGTTATATATAATGGGGTTCTAAGCAAGATTTTGCCCCCTGCTTTTTTTTTTCTAAAGTGGGGGAATCTCTACTGAAAGGGATTAAGAACGAAGCCCTAATCCTGTGCCAGTGCACAGCCCTAGGAGGCAGTAAGCACTTGAAATGTGGCTAATCCAAACTGAGAAGTGCTATAAATGGAAAATACACACCAGATTTCAGGGCTTAGCACAAGAAGAGAATATAAATATCTCATTAATCATTATTTTATATTGAATATAAATTGAAATGATGTTTTGAATATACTGATAAATAAAATGTGGTAATATTATTTTCACCTGCTTCCTTTTCCTTTAAAAATGTGACTAACTAGAAAATTTATTTTTATTGAACGGTGCTGCCCTCATCAGCACAGTGGCTACCTGGTACTGATGGCTTTCCCAGGCCGGCTCTTTACGTGTATTACTGCATGTAAATCTCACCGCAAGCCAGAGAGGCAGAGATATTTTCTAGCCCATTTTACAGGTGGAGAACTGAAGCTTGGTGAGTCTAAGTGATTACTGGAAAGTTAGGGAGCTCGGGCAGCCGGACTCAACTCCAGATCCCCTGCTTAACCACTCCCTAGGCAGCCAAACAGGCTTTAGCACATCCCTTCCAAATCGGGCCCTTGCCCACTTTTCGTGCTTCCCTCCAGCAACACAAACCCCATTCCCTCTGCCTGGCAGATGTTCTCTTCCCTCCTCCGGAAGGCCTTCCAGACTCCCTGATCCAGCCCCGTCTTCTAAGCCCTCGGGAAAGTCTCAGCAGGTCAGAGGCCTGCCAGAATCTGGACCCCAGGGGGCTGCCCTAAGGACCTTCCGTTTCCCGAGGCGCAGGCCGGCAGCTCCCCACTTCCAAACCGCGTCCTCCAACTCTAGCGGGGTGAGAGTGGGAGCGCGAGGAGCGGCGGCTTCCCTGTCCCCTTCCCTCTGCGCCCTTCCTCCTGGCTCTGGCCGCGCCACCCCAGACGTGCCAGGAGGGAGACCTGATATCCCATCTCCAAGCCCGGGGCTGTTGCTATTTCTGCTTGACGGAATTAAGCCCGTCTAAATTAGAAGGTGATATTTCATCTCTAATTGGCAAGTTCAAAAGGCCCCTATCGCACTTGGCGGCCTCGGGAATGTGTAATTAAACAAGGTGATTTCTGACTCATTCCAGGTCGGGCCCGGCTCCCCGCGAGCGCAGGCCCCCGCCCGGCCCGCGGGCCGACGTGGCCTCCCCCAGCCCGCTCCAGGCCCCTCCGCCCACGGCGAGGCCTCCCCGGCCGCCTCCCGGGCCCCAGGTGCTCTGGGGAGCGGCCGCCCAGCCCCGGCGCCACCGATGGCAGCGGGCTGCGAACGTCACCCTCGGCCCAGAGGAGTCCCGCGGGGGAGCTGCTGCCCGGCCTGGGTCCGCGGAGGACGGGAGCGGCTCGGGCCCGCGTTCCCTGCTTCTCCCCGGGCCGCCTGCCAGCCGCCCGGCCTCCCCGGGAGAGGGGCGGAGGCCGGTCGCCTCCTTCCCCGCGGGCAGGCATGAGTTAACGTCTGCACCGCCTGGGAACGCCGCGCAGGGAGGCCGCCGCCCGGGGCTCCGGCACGTCTCGCCCGCCTGGGCCCCAGCCCGGGATGGAGCAGAGGGGCGCCGGGCTGGGGGCCAGGCGGCGGGCGCCCCCGGAGCCGTGCCGCCCCCTGGCGGACCTGCGGAGGAGAGCCGGCGCCCGGAGCGGGGGCGCCGAAGCCCGGGTCCGCCCCGGAAGGTGCCGGGGAGGACCCGCCTGGGAAGGGAGCCCGGACCGGGACGGAAATGCGCTCCTGGCGCGCGGACAGAGCCTTGCCTCAGCCGGCTGCGGCTCCCCCAAACTCTTTTCCACCCTGCCCGCCGTGGTCCCGGTCTGCGCAGGGCAGCCGCGTCCTCCAGCTCCCCCGGAGAGTTTCGCCATGGCAGCCAGCTCCGAATTGCTCCCTAATCCTGTGGATTCTAACCTCAGAACTTTGTGTCCCTGCGTCTGAAAGGACAGGGAAGGGCTCTTCTGTGTGCCAAATACTCGGCTGGGTGCTTCATTTCGTCCCCAGAATACGAGGTCTACACAGCTGTGTGCCCATTTTTCAGAGCGGGGAACTAAGGCTGCGGAGACGAAGGGCTGTGCCTTGGAGGAGGCAGAGCGACCCCCGCACCGGGGCCTGCCGGATGCTGAAGCGGCTTCTACCGTCCACACTCAACCCCGCCGGCAGAGCGAGCTTCATAGGAGGAGGGCTGATGACGGCTCCTCGGCGCTGCACCTCAAGCCTAGCTCCACACAGCCAGGCCCTTTCTGCTCAGTCCCTGTCTGACCTCCCCTAACCGCCCATGCAGGATCCTCTCTGCGTCTCTCCTTTTCCTTAACAGGATTTGCTCCCCAGTAGGGACTCGACCTCATGACTTCTTGACCAACTCTGCCTCTCTTGGGTGATATAGAGAAGCCCCCTCCTATCCCCTTAGAGTTAGCTACCCGATTCTTTCCCAAACATGTCCTTAACTTCGTCACCCCATCACGGTTCCCATGTGTGAAAAAGGTGTGGGTGTAATAACTTGGGAGGGGGAGGGGAACAGTTTGGTTATTATTACAAGTGGAAAATGTCATTATTGCTAGAATTTTTATGGTCACGATGGCTGTGAAGAGAAAATGTTGAAAGTATAATGCTTTAAATGAAAAGTGTGTACCCACCTCAAATCCTATCTCAGCCATCCATGGAACTGGCATGGGCCCCCCATGGGAACCATTGTGACCCATGACCCCTGTGTTCAGTCACCAGAGTGCACAGTTCACCACCTCTCTCCATGCCATTCCTTACCCCTGGCTTGAAGTCCTTACCAGCATTCATTCATTTATTTATTCCTTCATCTACTACCTTCGCTGAGCTCCTCCTCTGTACCAGGCCTGAGTCAGGCGCTGGGGAGACAGTGAAGAAAATCTCCACAGCCCTGCCCTCCTGGAGTTCAGAGTCAGAATCCAGAGGGAAGGAGGGGATGGTGATGTTAGCCCTGGACGGCTGTAGATGCCCAAAGCCCTTCTGTGGACATATCCACTAGACCAGGGCACACAGGACCTTCCCCCAGCCCGGGGAGATGGCGGCTAAAGAGCCCTCAGCTTCACTGAGCAGGGGGGCAGGCAGGGGGCAGGTAAGGCAGGGGGCGGGCGGTGAGGTGCAAAACTGAGAATTGCCTGCAGGCTCTGGGGAGCAGGACAAACTTTACCAAGGGAAGAGGAGACATCGTGCTGAGTCCTCATCATTGTGAAAGGGCGGGGACCAGAGCGATGGAACAGATAGCTGAGTGAGCTCTGTGGCCCGCTGACCCTGTGCCAGCCATTCTGTTGCTGATCACGGGTGCTCTCTGGGCCTCCACTATCCTGCCTCAGCTGAGGAAACCAAAGACCAGACAGGATGAGCAGCTCGCCCCGGGTCACAGCATGATTCAGTAGGTCTGTCCAGAGCCCACAGCATTTTCATTATACCTGCCTGTCTTCCAGATTGAACCAGACTCACACTCCTGGAGAAACAAGCTCTCTTCTTTCACCTTGAGCCTGGAAATCCCCAGCCAGGACCAGGATCTTCCTGAGAGCTGGGCTGCTCCATCCCTGGCTGGCACCGCATACCTGTCTGCCCAGGGCCGGAGGCAGGCTCCATAGGATTCTGACCCACATTTGGAGGAAGGAGGGCTGAGCCTCCTTGGCAGGGCCTCACTGGCCACCAACCTTTTGGGGATGTGGCCTAGAAGCCACATCCAGCCTGACAGCCTCCCCTCCATTCTGCCTCTCACCTGGCTGGTAGACAGAAGGCCGGATGCTGGCGGTGGTGACAACCCGGGGCTTGGGCGTAGGGGCAGCTGAGGCCTCATTGTATGTATGAGTGGCAGGTGCTGGAGAGGTCGCCTTGGCGGGACTGTAGGCAGAGGCCTGGGGCCTGGAACCAAGGGGGGGAGGAGTTAGCAGCCAGAAGCACAGTCCTACCCAGGCCCTGGAGCCTGCAGTCCTGGCAGGCTGTCTCCCCCATCTTCAGGAGCTTCTGTGAGGAGGAAACCTGACAGAAGTTGTCCCGGAGTTGCCAGAGGCTGTAAAGGAAAGACCATGGCAGTCTTTGCAAGGAAGAAGCGGCTCCATGGGGGCTGAGTGTTTGTGAGCCTGGTGAGAGCAATACAGCCCATTGCTAGTGCTATCACCTTAGGAGAGAGGGAGGAAAATCACCAGCTTGCCAGAGAGACACACAGAAAACCTTCACTCCCTGGGGAGAGACTTCCAGGGTGGGGCCAGGGCTGGAGGGGGCAGTAGCAGGAGAGAGGAGACAGATGAGGTGGTCAGAGCTACCCCTCTCCCTCAACCTTCTGACCTTCTGGGGCACAAACCACTGGCCTCCTCCCCATTCCCCTTCCCGCATTGCTGGAAGGAGCTGCCAAGTCTCAGGTTTCTGGGTGCTCCAGGGAGGGCTCAAGGGAAGCCAGGAGACACAACATCTCCCAAAAAAACACACGCACACAGGCATCTCTTTACAGAATTCCTGTTGCCTTCTTCCCACTGAGTTAGCTGCCAAGGGGCCTAGAGCAGCCTTTTCCCACTTGTGACCCAGGAACCATGGGACCTCAGTGAAGGAGGGAAAGTGCCCCAGTTCGTTGCCCTCAGGAAATGCTGTCCTTGGCTTCTCCCCTTGAAGAGCTAAAAGTTCCAACAACTGGAGTTAAGCAGCATGTTCAACTTTGTCTCATCCAGTGTTTCCCAGTTTCATTTGTCAGTGAACAACCTGCCCCCCCCTTTTTTTTTTTTTTTTTTTAACTCAAGAATACCTTACTGAACACATCCTTCTCTCCCTACATCTTTCAGATACCACTGGGGACCACGGGTCCCCAGGGCAAATGGGCCATTGATGGGGATGCTAGAGAAGTGAACCCCTGCTAATATGTCCCTGCCCCCCAGCCCCTGGTTTCCTGCCTTCCTTCCAATGCTCCCAATGGGCCCAGGTGCTGGGCAGAGTCAAAGGATAAGAAAGTATCTTCTCCAGGGCTCTGAGCTAAGCACCCACCCCTGAGCTCCTGAGTGGATCCAGAAGCATGTATGTTGCTTCCCAGAGTGTATGGAGGTAGAATGAGCCTCAGACAGCCAGTGTCCCAGATGTGGGGGGTGTGCAGACTTACCGTGCCAAGTTACCATGGTGCTGACTGGGTGAGGCCATTGTCTTCCCTCCTGGGGCCTGCCTGCCCTGCTCTGATATGCCACAGTGGAGTAGGGGCCTCAAAGGAAGAGGAAGAGGCAGTGTCCCAGGGGTGCCCAGCTTCTACTGCAGTGGAAGGCCTAGGGTCAGTGGGGCTTAGCCAGGCTCTCCCAGCAGTGGAGGAAGCTTTCCCAGCATCCCAGAGCTAAAGGTCCTGTGTCAGGGATTGGTACTAGGGGAGGAAGCAGAGTCTTAAACCATCCAGCAAGGATTCTAAGGCCATGCCAAGGAAGGTTGGGGTGTCCATTCGCCTCCCACTGGCTCCCTCTAGCTCCATCTACCTTTGGGCAAGAAGGGGAGGTGTTTGGGCCCAGAGTGTGGTTCCTTAGTCCTTTCTGCTCTGGCCTGATGCTGGGAGCCCTTCAGTTGTCTCTCTGACCTCTACCTAGGCCTCATCTCCCTTTGCAAGGCAAAGGAAGGAAGGGTTTGTCCTGTGGAGGGAGCCCTGAGGGCCCCAGGACACAGATGACACGGAGGTCTGAAGCTCAGTGCTGGAGCTCACCCTTAACCAGGGCCCCAGCGTCTGGAGCTCCTCCATCCAGCCAGGGAGGCATCTCCCCACTTAACAACAGAGACATTTCTTACCCTCTTCAAAGTGTCTTCTTTGTGTCCTTACCTGAAGAAATTCTGTGTGCAGAGGGGAAGCAATTTGCTAAGTGACCCCAGGAAGCTGGAATAAAACAACCCCTGGAGGCCCAGAGTGGGCTCACCCTTGAGACTTGAGCTGGCCTGGCACCACCTAGGTCCTTGTGAAGCCTGGGACAGGGGGGCAGCACACAGGTCTGCAAGCCACTCCGCCCACCCTTCATCCTGCCTCAAGCCAGGGACCTATGAATCCTGACACAGAGAGGCATGACCTTTCCAGCAAAACCCTGGGAGGGGAACATGGAAAGCTGGGAAAGCTGGCTCTGACCCCAGACACCAACTTGACAGCTTCCTCTGCCCCAGGAAGAGTTGGGCCTGTCCAGCCGTTACACAGCCTGGCCATGCTAGAATGACTCATCTGGCCTACCCCCTCCACCTCCCTGCAACCCCCTTTACCCTTTACAAACTGCAACCCCCATTGCCCCATCCCCACCCCAACCTTTGTCGGGTATCCAGGAGGTCAGATTGAAATACTTGAGAGCATTTTATGTGCTGGGTGACTTATGCACACTTTTCTCTGTCCCAACCCTCAAAAAAGACATTGTATTAAGTATCTTAGCAGGTGAGGAACTAAGCTGCAGAGAAATGAAGTCACTTTCTGCAGTGGTGGAGCAGAGACTTAAGTCCCATGACATGGGCTGCCTCTGGAGTTAGCATGCTTTCTATCAAGAGGTAAAGAAAGAGGGCAAGTTAGTTGCTAAATATTTGCCCAGACCTGACATGCCCAGGTCAACACTGCCTCTGCTCCAGAGAGCCTTCCTTGACTTCCCCAGACCACAGGGACAATTTCCATTCTCCCCCTTACCCCAGTTCCAGGCCTCTTTTACCTGCGTGTGTGTGTGTGTTTGTGTGAGAGAGAGAGAAAGAGAGAGAGATTTTATCGCTGTCTCAGAACACATGCTGGCGGTCAAGGCAGCAAGTCCCTGTCTCTGTCCTGACCTGCATAGTGTGCTCTCCTGCAGGGACCCAGGGTCTGCCCTTCACGCTCAGCACCAGGCAGTGCTAGGTTTGGCTTCCCAAGGACCCAGAGTCCTAACCACCTTGGACGAGCCTTTCCAAGGGCTGGACACATTGTCAACAGGTAGACCCAGGTTGAGCCTTTCCTGACTCCCTCGCCTGAGGTCACGGCCGGCACCTGGGGGGCCAGTTACCTTGGACTGTCCGCAGGGCTTGAGGCAGGGGCTGTGGCAGAGGCGGTGGCAGCATGGGCAGTGGCTGCACTCAGGGGTGGCGAGGCGGCCCCGGGAGGGGCAGCAGCAGGCGGCTGGGCGGAAGCGGGCAGCAGCGGGGTGGCGGCCTGGCTGGTACACACTGGAGCATGCGCAATAGGGGTGCTGACGAGGCGGGACCAAGAAAGACAACAGGTCAAGGGGGTCCCGTATACACTGGAGCATGCGCAATAGGCATGCTGATGAGGCAGGACCGAGAAAGACAACAGGTCAGGGGGGTCCTGCTGTATGGGGATGGTGCTTGCAGCAGAGGCAGGCTGGGCGGAAGGCACCATCCATACTGCAAACAGGCTAGAATCTACCAGAAGGTGTGTTTCCAGGCTCAGGGAAGGAGCCTCCCAGGACCCAAGAGGGAAGGGCTCAGAGTACTTGAAGGTCCACAGTCACATCAAAAGTATTCTCAAGTCTGGCTAGTTTCCACACAACCCCTTGCTCCCAATTTCTGTGTACTTCCTATCTTGTCTTTCTCCGTATATACAACAAAAACACAGTGTGGTGGGAAAGTAGATTGAATTACCAAGTTTCTTCACCCATCCTGTTTTCCTTCCCATTTTGCCCTTCCCCATTTAGTCAGAGGCATGCATTGTGCCTGAGAAGGGATGGGACAAGGCACAAAGCAGAGGTAAGACGTGTGTAGGCCCAGGGCTTCGACTGTGGAGTTGTGAGAGCCTGGACATCAGGCTGCAGATGACTCAGGCCCCTGAATGCATTTGGAAGATGGACGAAAGCTACCATGTCAGGCAAGTCCAGGGCATCAGAACAAGAAAGGGGACAATGCGGCAAAGGGGATTCAAGGAGAGAGGGAGCCATGTTCCTGTTCTGGATAAACCCTGGGGACATAGCAGGACCCCATGGTGAAGAGGCAGGCAGACCCAAAACAGCCCAAAGATCCCCAGGCCAGCATGTGACCGAGCACCCATAGAGGGTTTCCCCCACACCCCCTGAGAGTCATGGACATGGTCCTGAGTGCCCGCACATCTGAGAGGCCTTGTAACTGGGAACGAGAGAGTGGCTGCTCTGCGGTGTCACCAGCACGAGACCACATGGGCTGGGAATATCCCAGCAGATGTCAGCCCAGGCAGACCACCACCAAGGACCAAGTACCCACGTGCCCCACCCCACTCTGTAAGCGCCTTTTCCCCCAGCCCATCCAGACAAAAGAAAAGCATCAGAGCCTGGGGTGATGGGATTTGATTTCTGCCATCTCTGTGAAGCAGGGCAGAGAATAAAAATCAAATTATAGGAAAGCAAAGACATGCACATTCTTTGCTCCTTGGGGTCTTTGGATGAAGATTTGCACTCAAAACAACGGCAGCAAGATATGCAGCTCCTGCCCATGGAAATGACCTCCCCCATGTTCTGCAATTCATTCGCTGAACTCGTACCACCTGCCAGGCACATGTCTTTAATTTCTCACTCCAGTCCTCTGATGATCGGCTCCATTCAATAGCTTAGGGAATGGAGGCCGGGAGAATTCAGTCACCCAGCCTCCCAGCGCCTCCTGGCAGAGACAGCAGGATCTGAGTGACGTGCCCTTGGATTTGAAGGAAGCCTTACCCAGGACCTCAAGTGGCCCCTCATGGAGGAATAGAGAAACTTCTTGTGATTAGCCAAGTAGAATCTTTCCGTGACAAAACATACTCTTCGTATTTGAAAACAGAGGACTAATCTTCCCTCTGGGAGTATATGCTGGGAGACCATATGCTGGGTCTTGGGCTGAACTACTGTACAAACCTCAGTCCATTGGATCCTCTCAACCTCCCTGAGTGATTGGTATCATGATCCTCGTTTTACAGACGAAGCACCTGAGGTCCAGAGAGATTGAAT